TATAGATGGATACTTGTTTTCAGCCTTTATTAGTTATGTGGAACACATGCATCTATGCATACTGTCCCAATTAACATAATTAATGACCATTCCCCACCTGTTCTTGAGTGTATTCTACTAACATTTTCCCACAGCATAGTGACATTGACGTGTAAAAAAATAGCAAGTTTTAAAAATAAAATGTCAACAATGCTGCTTCTCATCCTTGTATGGCGACCAAGTGCAAAGATTACTGATAGAATGTTGAGTCATAGGGATATTTGGTAGTTAGTTAAGAATGAAAAATAACGCCTAAAATATATTGTTGAAAAAGAAACTCATTTAAAAAAATAATAATTTCCAGGTGATGGTCGAGTTTCATAGCGACGTAGTATACAAAGCGTGTAATAAAATACATTGTTTAGAGAGAAATCTGAATAGACGCCGCTTTGTGCGACCACCGCGAAACTCACTGTGTAGCAGTGAAATGTTTGTAGGCGGTGACGAATCTACCTACTCTGGTATTTTTGCATGTTTGTTAGAAGGTGTGACACTTTCTTTACTTGCACACATGTATTCTTGAAACCTGACTTTGCTCTTAGAGAGTACTTCGTATTTAGCACGACTGAAATATTTACATTTTTGATATGCATCCGAAACCTGGCAAAATGGCATAAATTTCTTAAATTTCAACCATCGCCAAGAGGAGCTGATTTTACACGACTCATTTTTGAATTGCGAGTATTGTTGAACATTATATTCAGGCGTTAAAAAACAATGTCACACCCGAAACAGTTACAGGTTTGGTATTTTTGGCGCCCGATATTTTGCTTTGATTGTGAAAAATTCGAAAGACGAATGTAAAATCAGCTTCTCCTGGCCATAAATAAATTTACTTAGAGACAATATTCTAAAGCATTGAGTTATTTCAGAAAATAATGCATGACACAACCTACTTATAAAAAACACAACTATAATTGTTCGTTTTATGCTTCATTTACAAGTCCACTAGCTGTTGGATGAATGTCTTTATCGAAGCCATCGACGGTATTCACGTTTTCGGCAACATCGATGTCTACTTGAACACTAATTGATCGTACATTTTTCTCAGCCCTTTCGCTATTTTCTTCCCTATACGATTTTCTGTAAAGATCAGCAAACGAAAAAAATACATCAATGTCGCGTCGATGCAATCATTCCATATCCCAAATTTAAGTAATTTTAAGTAAGTATCTCGTTTCTTCATTGAACTAACTTACTTTCCGAATGTTCTCCCGTCCTCAATTGTCTCCGGAAGTCTGTGGTTACGTGTTTCTGGAATGAAGAGCGCAAGGAAACCAGCCACAACAGAGGTCGCCCCCATTATAATATACGGCGCTGGTTCCCATATGTCAGCCAGTAGAAATACGTAAGGAGATACAATACTGCCGACACGTGCACACATCGACGATACTCCCATTCCCGCGTTCCTTATGAAATAAACAGTATTAGACAAATATGAATATACTGAATTTTAATGTGGATATTCACAAGAACTGTCGCGTTCAAAATCGTTTTCAATACTGTAACTAAAATAATATAGCAACCAGGTTCCTACCTAACTGTAGTTGGATAGAGTTCAAGAGCATACACATAAACAATGGTGAACGTTCCTGCAATACACATCTTTGCTATCATAGCCAAGGTTACCGAAACATTAACATTTTCTACAGCAAAACAAAAAAGAGAAAATCACATGAGGTGGGGGTTTGTTATTGGTCAGCCTCTTGTCACGTGGGACAATTAATATTTATATGATGATGTTTATGTAGACTGTTTGATCTTCAATGACATATGAAATAGTAGTGTGGTATTTACAATCAGCATTCAGGAAAGAGAGGATCTGTAGAAATAACAAATGTCCAGAACAATGGGTGAACATGACCAGGTGTGATACAAATCATAACATTTTCTTTTACCTGGTGGTACACTTATTATCAAGCACAAACCACCAACAACGGTCGTGCTACACAAAGCCCATCTCCGACCAAAAGTTCTCATTAACAACCAACCAAGAACACTTCCTGGAATTTCAACAGCTGCAGCGATAAAAAATGTGATATATGGATTTTCACCAATCTGGTCAGTATTCATTGAGATTCCATAATAGACAAAACTGCAAGAAAACCTAACAAAAAATACGAGAGCAGTGAAACATTGGACCGGAATGTGATAACTTTGCAAAAATAGTAACGCTCGTGTTAAGCATACAACTACCACTATTTTTGTGAAATGCACACCGCCTACTTACCAGTTGAAAGACATCAAAACCGCACTGGTCCGCAGATTCGGAGTTTTAAAAATATCAACAGCTGTATATTTTTTGGGCTGTAAAATTGAAAGTATCGTGGTGTCTTATTTACACGAGTTGTTTGGGCAATCACTTCTACTGTTATAAAATGATCGGTAACAAATCACATGTTATGAATGATTGAGATAGATCAGTGAAATCAGTTGATTACGCAATCGACAGAAATTTAAGTTTAAGTATACTAAACACCCAATTGTACTAATAAAATCGATTGAACAACACTACCTTCTCCTCAATTTCTTTAACGCTTTTTATCTTCTCAGTCATCTCCTTTTCTTCTTTGAACAAATTATCCGGTACTTTTGTTTTGTTTATTTTAGCCCATTTATTCAGCACTTTCGTCGCTTTAGCATACTTCGATTTTTGTATAAGCCACATTGCTGACTCGGTAACTAACCTAAAATCAATTTGATACTAGTTTTGTTACTTGCAAGTGATTTAATTTTAAAATTTCTATTAATTTCAGCGCAGCACGAATCCAATAAGATATATAAAGAAGACAATGTTCATGCAAAAGCTGTATCAGTACTTTAATTCCCAGCATAGTGTATAAGCTGGTTGATATATAGAAATGAGAAAGTGAGATATTGATGCGAAGCATTATGAAATAAGTAAGTTTGAAGAAGCACGATTCCTTAGTTACAAGTTATTCTGAATATATCAATAGAATAAAATAATTGTATGTATGATTGTTGAAGGAGCATCAATAGTACCAAATGGGGATAATCAGTTCTCACTCGAATGACGATACTTGAAAAATATATAAAGTAACCTTAAACCTGTAAACGACCTACAGTATTTGCCACATATACATTGATTAATAAATCAACTTTAATGCTAATAGATTGTACATGTAGATTCAGCAGTCAGTTGCCTGTCATACATACAGCACTACATAAAGGATAATATACATGAATACAAAATGTCTGTTGTATGCTCTGTCATTTGCTCATGAATAGTTGAAATGGCCTTGATAAAACCTTGATTGGAATATACAAAACCTTAGTCTTCTAGTGTCAGCAATAATTGAATATATGGTAGTGGTACTAAAGCAGCAAAAACATTATTATTTCAACAAGTCCTAATGTCTTTTCAGTATTCCATATTGTGTACCTAAATGGCCACTGCTAGGAAAAGTAAACTACGACATTGTACGACCTCTTCTGATGCAAGAATATTGTGTTATCGTGTGTTCATTTTGGCAGGCTCTGCTTTGGGCAGTATATTTCCAAAGGCTTGGAGAGAGGGGTATACGTAATATTTCCCCATAGCCAATACATACATGTCCAATGATAGGCTGGTACTGTTTGGTGTGCTAAGTTGTTCTAATAATATTTGATGTATATCATGGATATGGTGTCTTCATCAGCGTATACAATGATACAACTCATACTATACTGCATTCATCAAATAATTGACTTTGCAGTCTGAAATCCACTTACCAAATAGATGGGATGAAGAGTATACAGATAAGACCAGAAAACAGTTGAATTTTGCGCCAATTTCCAGACAAGCCATATGCAATAATGCCAAACAACGCGTAGAACGAACTGAATGAAACGTGGATAAGAGATGAGAGTATTGTTCTGTATTTGAATCCAACTATTTCCATAACTGAAACGAGAAACAAACATAATAAGGTGACATAATCAATTAGGATTCTGTAATTCTGAGGCCTGGATTTGTAATAATAGTTTTAACAAGCTGTAGCTGTGTATGATAAATCATCAATTAATGTATTCACTTACCCATCACATTTCCAGTAATATACAAACTATGTGGAAATGCTCCAAGAAGAAACTGGCATACAAGAAAAAAATAATACGTTGGTGAGAATGCCGCTGCAATGGCCACCACTATCGTTGATAATAAACATATAACATATACTATTTTCCTTCCATAACTGCAATGGAAATAAATGGGTATTGAATAAATATGTTTTGGTGTGTATATCTACAGCACATATACAATTTTAAATTGCATTGCATTTTTGGAACTGACATATTAGACATACTTCTGATGTATAGATAATTTGAAAGGTTATCAAATAGGGGATATTTAGCCAGCATCGCAAAATGTGATAACAATAGAATATAGCTGGTCAATTGGATTAATTGCACGTGGTTGAGAATGCCATGCAACTGATCAATATCTCAATCTATCACAAACTAATTGAACATTAAATTATGGAAGCCAGCTTTTAGTTTTCATCAGTCTTACAGAAGTATTATCACTAATTACGTTTTTTCTGGAACACAGTTAATATGAAGGAGGATAATACCAGTATTCTTAGGATTCCACACCTGAAGCCTGAAAACAAAGCCGCACTTTCTCGGTTGAATGTTCATCATAGGATAGGTTTCGCTGTAATATTATCAGGGGGAATTCTTCTCTCTGGGGTTCTCCACACTTGTCAGGGGGGAAACTCGTCTCGTCTCTCTATCTCGTCCCCTTGAGGTACGGGATCGGGAAAGTCACTTTAACTTTACAGTCAAATAAGACACACACAACGGAATACGTTTCAGCTCTCGTCTTAGTCGGTCAATCGAGCACTCTATAAGACACAGCGCCCTGGGGAAAAGAGTCCCCAAGACTCTCGCAAGGCTGAACCAAGACTCGCCCAAGACTGGACTGCCTCAAGGCTCGCCCCAAGACTCGACTCTCGACTGCCCAGGACTGCACTCTCTCTCGACTGCGTCTATCGTGCTGTGCTCTTCAAGACCAACTCAAACTCTCTTTATTCATTTTCAAAACTCTAACCAATTACAAGAACAGTAAAAAGACTCTAGGGCGTAACCTTCAATCATAAAGCCAATCACACTAAGTACTGAATACGTCATATCTTTTGATTAATCGTTCACTACATTAATAACTACGGATGTCAGAATAGCGACGGTATCTTGTAATTAGTTCCAAATCACTGAGCCAAGTTCCGTCCAAAACTTCAAATAGGCCTACACGATGACAGACATAACACAGCAATTCGCTAATAATCAGTTAATTAAGTCGGTCAACAGATACGCGAAAACAAATTCATGACAATATCAAGATGCGAGCCTATGATGTTCATGACTTGAAGTTGTGAATAGCTTGTGTTTTCTGAAGATAACAATGGTGTGACTTGTGGTGTCTTTGAATACCTGAGACATCAAGCCTAATCAATATTTGAGCGCTAAAGATTACAACACTCTCATTCACAGTATGTTTCTAGCAAGACACTCTCAGAGAAGCAATTCCAGGATGAATCAGGTATGAATTTGACACCAACATCTACCAACTGTCCATGGTATGGTACCTTACTAATTCGGGAACTGTCATTGATTGTGGTCAACTTGACACAATGGTGTCTGTGAGTACCTGAGACATCAAGCCGAATCGCTGTTCGAGTGCTAAAGAGTACAACACTCTCAGTTACAGTCTTTTTCTAGCAAGACACCCTCAGAGAAGCAGTTACTGGATGAATCTGATACCAACTGTCCAGGGTATAAAAGCTTACTAATCCTGGAACTGTCATTGTTTGAACAGCACTGTAATCGCCTTGTGTTCAACTTGACACAACGATGTACACATCACAATCTATACTGACTCCTGACTTGATCCAGGATACCTACATCTGTCCATTGCAAGCTCATTACAATGACCAGTTGACATCTCTTCCTTGTCCTAAAAGAACCACCAGCGAGAGAAAGCATTGAAGGCATTTTGTTGATGACAACCAGTTGTTAAGGGTTTTGAAAGTACATGCTGCCCGCCCAACTTTCACTGGTTATGACAGTGTTGAACGTACTGTCAGAGAGTACAGCAGACTATGAACACACCAGGTCACATTACAACTATACCAACTGTAGAATTGGGAATTATTTGAATTTATTTTCATGTAATTTGCCGTGTCAGCCATTACTGTGAACCTGGAATGCCTATGTATCTCAATCGTTTTAAATGGTATCAACATTTTACTAGTACTTAGGCTACTAAACATTGAACGAGTTTCTGTCAGGATTTTTAGAGACATTTTTGTTTATAATGTCTGATTCTTCTTACATGTCTGGTATTACACATATTCTGGTATAACATGTGTTTACTCACATGTTTAGTTTTACTCACATGTTTGGTTTTACTCACATGTTTGGTTTTACTCACATGTCTGGTTTTACTCACATGTCTTGTATTACTCACATAATATTTACATATTTGATAGTATTCACATGATAATACTGAAATTTCTAAAATTATTCATGTGTCTGATATCGCTAACGAATATACTACTTACATGTCTGAGATTTGACCAAATATTATTACACCAACTAGATTTCCAAGCGGCACGATGGATTTTGAAAGCTGTTTCATCCAGTCCCTATCACACACTAAATCGAACTGTAAAATAACCATATATTACCATTGTGACTTTTAACTTACTAAGTAGTACTGTAACTGAAAATGAATGTTGATATACCACCGATCTGATATCATACTTGCAGTGTCTTATACAACTCGCCTTGTTTTTTTTATTGTAGTATGGTTTGCTGACATTATGCAATCATATTGTACCAGAGCCATTGAATGTGTTACATAGAGCTCAGGAAAATAACATAACTGTAGTGTTTGCCATACAATCGCCCTGTAATAATATTTAAACCAGGCACCTTCAATGCTTGTGAAAAAAAGTAACAGAGACAGGGAACCAAGGCTCTACTTCACTACACCCTGTTACCCAGAGGTGACTGCTCGTCATTTCATCACGCTTTTTATAAATTTAAAACACACATTTACAATAGCGATAATCACCAGCCAACTGCAACTGGTTGAAAGTTCACATCGTATCTCTATCGTCACGATGTATAATGATTCATCTGGCAGCCATAATCAATCTTTGATATGAATATGATTTGTTTGTATACCATGCTGTAGGGTAGATCGCATGTGAG